TGTTTTCATAGTTATTTTGGTTACAGATAAAGTGCATAAAGCTAATGTAAGTGTGGTATATTTTCATAGTTATTGTGGTTACAGATAAAGTACATAAAGCTAATGTAAGTGTGGAATGTTTTCAGAGTTATTTTGGTTACAGATAAAGTACATAAAGCTAATGTAAGTGTGGAATATTTTCAGAGTTATTTTGGTTACAGATAAAGTGCATAAAGGTAATGTAAGTGTGGTATATTTTCATAGTTATTTTGGTTACAGATAAAGTACATAAAGCTAATGTAAGTGTGGTATATTTTCATAGTTATTGTGGCTACAGATAAAGTACATAATTCTAATGTAAGTGTGGAATGTTTTCAGAGTTATTTTGGTTACAGATAAAGTGCATAAAGGTAATGTAAGTGTGTTATGTTTTCATAGTTATTTTGGTTACAGATAAAGTACATAAAGCTAATGTAAGTGTGGAACATTTTCAGAGTTATTTTGGTTACAGATAAAGTGCATAAAGGTAATGTAAGTGTGGTATATTTTCATAGTTATTTTGGTTACAGATAAAGTGCATAAAGGTAATGTAAGTGTGTTATGTTTTCATAGTTATTTTGGTTATAGATAAAGTACATAAAGCTAATGTAAGTGTGGAATATTTTCAGAGTTATTTTGGTTACAGATAAAGTGCATAAAGGTAATGTAAGTGTGTTATGTTTTCCTACTTGTCTGGGGTACAGATAAAGTGCATAAAGGTATCTTTGGAAGTTTGGAAAATAACGTTATTCGGCAAATCACTTTTTAGTTAACAAGTTGTAGTCCTTACATTTATACGTTCTTCAGTATAAAGAACACTGAAATTATCAAATATGAAATCTGTTTTTAATAATCATATATTAATGTTTTTACGATATTTCTTCGCTTGTGATATAAAATTATTCAAACTATAATATTTTAGTAGTTTTACTGGTTAACGTTTCTCCAATTTCTAATAAAGTGACGTCCAGTCCTATTAGGTCATGTCTTAAATTATACCGTACTGGTATAATAAAAAGTGGTTAAGTCTACGTTTTTCGTATTCCACTTCCGTTTGATCAAACAGTATTTAGTAATCAGTCTTGCTAAAATACGGATTGTATACCTTTATTGGATCAACATGCTTCAAACTAAATTTATATATTAATCATCGTGCTGAAAATCAGGATCATACACACACAGTTTCTGAAGCAAACGTAGAAAGAAGATAAAAGTATCCAACGTCTGTTTGCGTTAGAGAAAACTGATATTGAAGTCCCGCCCTACACTTCTTTGTGAAGTTGGAATTTACTACAAGCCGTTTCTGTGGCTGGATAAAGAGATGTAAATCTAGGTAAACGTATTCTTCGGTGCCGAGGCTTATGTATGTTGAATTAATTGTTTTCCTACTTATTTCTTTAGATGGCGTATTTTTCACGGAAGAAATAAGCAAAACAACGAGAATCTGTATGACCACTTTGTCTTTCTTACGTAACACATCTCTTACCAACGCTGTTCGCTTTATAAGTTTGGGGAGAAAACTGAAGCAATGTATTAATACAGTTCTGCCTCCTAGTTGATATACATAACGGACGAAATATAATAACGTATTTCAAAAAGGCTGTAAAAATGAGGAATCAAACCCTAACTACTCACTACAACAACATCCTCCGTGTCCTCTCTTCCAGCTCTTGGGGAGCGGATTGATGTTCTATG